CGAAGCCGGTGAGCACCAGGTCCTTGAGGACTCCATGCCGCCACCATCCCAATATTGAGGGGCGGCGACTGGTTGGGCCAGCCACCTGCTGCCGGGTCTTTGGGAAGCCGGGACAGAAAGACTTCTGGCAGCCGGGGCAGAGAGGCAGAGAAGGGTGAAGGGAGCCGCATCCCCGCATGGAGAGTCAGTGCCGCCACCATCCCAGCACTGAGGATGGCAGTGGCGCGGTCTCCTCGAGGACCTGCTGCTCACCGGCTTCACCCCCATCATGATCCTGGGATACCGCTTGGTCGGTGAGTGGTGCTCTGCCTGGCCGGAGGGGGGGTGTCCACTGGGTGGGCACCAAGTGGCAAGAGGTACAGGGCGACTGCTCTCTTGCGAGCAGAGCCAGGCACAGGGACGTAAGGACGACTTGGACTACTGTGTTTCGGGGAAACACAGTAGTCTTTTACAATCCTTTCCTTTTGCAAAATAAAATTTCCATCTAAAACTTGAACTCTTTTCCCTTAGAACCAAAAGCACAGGGTTATGATCAGAAAAGGGTTTATGTAAAATATCCACTTTCAAAATTTTATTTGCGAGATTTTTAGATGTCCATATCATGTCGATCCTTGAAAAAGATTTATGTCTTTCTGAGAAAAAGGAGTATTCTCTGGCATCACCATTTTTATATCTCCATGAATCTATTAATATTAAGTTGTCCATCAACTTGAAAAAAGTCTTTGGTAATTTACCTTGTGAGGGTTTAATCTCTTTAGTGGAAGTTCTGTCCGGAGCTGGTATTGTCACTCCATTCCAATCCCCAACATAAGCCAATTTTCATATGAAAAGGGCATTAGCTGATCCATTAGATATTCATAAAATTTACTTTTGTCATCATTTGGCCTATATATGCCAACCACTATTGATTTTATTCCATTAAGTTCAATTTCCACTACTACAAATGTACCGTATTCATCTGCTATAAGTATCTTAGGTTTAAATTGAGGTTTTATATATAAGACAACTGCATTAATCTTTCTTACACCAGCAGATATAAATTCCTCCCCAGGTCGTTTATTTATCAAGTATTTCATATCTAGTTTCTTAATATGTGTCTTTTTTTATTTTTATTTTTATTATTATTATTATTATTATTATTATTATTATTATTTTTATTTTTATTTTTATTATTTTTATTTTTATTTTTATTTTTATTATTTTTATTGAAAAATTTTAGAGAGTTTTACAAATATTTTCCCTTCCTTCCTTCCTTCCTTTTCTTCTTTTTCATTCCCTCTCCATTCTCCTTTCTTTTTCCTTCCTTGCTCTCTTCCCATCTTCCCATCTTTTTCTTTGTCTTTCCTCTTTCCCTTTCTTCTTTCCTGTCCCTTCTTGGATGCTCAAATGTAAAAGGGGAAACATTTCTCTTTTTGTTTGGTTTTGCTTTTAGTTTGTTTTGCTAGCCCTCTGCCAGCAAAAACTGAGCCTGAGCACACCCCACCCCCACCCCAGGCCCTGATTTTGGCCTGGATGGCCTCCTGCTGCCCTCTGCCCGCGACAACGGGTGACAATTTGCACAGCCCCCAGAGCTCAGTTTTCGCTGGCAGAGGGCAGCAGGAGGCCATCCAGGCCAAAAACGGGGCCCAGGGAGCGGGCATGGCCTCCAGGCTCCATTTTTGCTGGCAGAGGGCATTGGGCGGCCCTCCAGGCCGAAAATGGGGCACTAGAGGCACTGCAGGCTGGTCCTTCATTGTTTGCAAGGTGGCCCCACGGGCAGATCTAAGCACTCCACGGCCTTGAGTTTGACACCCCTGTTCTAAACAATTAACAGTTATTAACATTTACTATCGCTGACATTATTTTTGATCTGCATAGAGGAAGAACATTTCATATACAACCCACTTTATTTGCTTGGTATTTTTAAATTTTATTAGCCACCCAGTGTTGCCTGGTAAATTGGTAGCCATATAAAAGAACAAGTAAATACCAGTAAATCAGTAAATAAATCTATTTTGTATAGATTACCTATCACAGGGCTCATGGGAAAAAATGAATGTATGAATTGTCTTTTGCCAGCAGTGCAGGTACTTTAATCAATTGTTGAGTGCCTCTAATCAACATACAAAAGGTGCTGCAAAGGCTTTGAACACAATTCAAATTCATTGTTTGAGTAACTAAAAGTTATGTGATTTCTCATCCCTTCCCATTTTGTATTCCAAATCTATTCTGCAAGATTTTCCCAGCATCCTAGAGTAGATTTTAGAGATTGGGATGGAATAAGATTTTATGTTGTTGAGGGATATGGTTCCTTCAATAGATATATAAAATACCCAACCTATCCATTAGTGGCACAGCTCAAAATATCTTATTGATACTGTCAATATTTCATAAATGTTTCAGATTTGGTTTTCTTGTTTGTTGCTCAATTCATTATGGAATACTCCTCTGTATGCTTGTTTAATAATAATAAAAGTTTGGTGCTTTATAGTTTTCTTGAATTGTTCATATGTTTAACCAACATTGCAATAGAAAAAGGCATCATTCCATCATGTAGGTGGGACTGTTTAAAACAATTGCAATTTTGAGAAATGAGGTACAAAAGTAGCTAAATCTGTTGATGGTGGCTGCTCATTATCTTCCTTTCTCCGTGGATATTCTCTTTGGACTGAGCTGCTTGAAAAATATTTGTTTAGGCACAGCATCATATTTTATTCTATATGGAAACCAAAAGTGCTCCTCCCTTCATTCTATTTTTTTTTTCAAGATCTTAACAGAGAGATTAAGTGCCCTATAGCTCTTTCCTTTTATTTTTGCCTCTTGTACATTATTCAGATCGGGGTGGGTTCTACTTACCTTTACTACTGGTTCGCATCACGCCCACACCTATAATGACGTCCAGGTCAGTGGGCAGAGCCTCCTGCTGGTTTTACTACCGATTCTTGCGAACCGGTCCAAACCGGGGGCAACCCACCACTGATTCAGATCAGGTGCTATATACTATTTCATTCTAAAATATTCCAAAAACCTAAACAGCCTTTCCTAGTTCAATGATAATCCTTATTTACAATAATATGAAAGATGTAATTTTTATATCCTTCTTTCTGTAGTCTGTCTCCAGAGCTTATCTATAAACAGAGAGACAGGTGGGACAATTTTATGCTTTTTTCAATTAATCTCTTTGTATGCTTTGGTTTATAATTTATGGAGGATATAAGCGCAGATTTGGGAGTTTCTGAGTTTCTTAAGGTAGCCAGATACACGTAGTCCTTGTTTAGTGGTTTCTTTGTTACAGTGATTGTTCCCAGTTAAGACAGAAAGCTGAAGCAAGATTGTAAGAACAGTTGCATTTTAACTACCTCACTTAATGATTGAGTTGCTGGTCCCAATTATAGTTTCTATAAGGGAACTACCTATATATTTCTATCATTTGGCTAGCATATGATTGCTAAAAGTTATTTCTGTTTGCACAGGTATTTGAAGTTTTTGTTAAGAAATCCTTTCCGGTGTGCTTTGATGCCTAAGAATGTATGGCTATGTCCCAAAAGAATCAGATGGGTGAATTAGGCCTTCAGCACCACCAACCTCTGCAAGCCAGATGTTGTTTCCAATAACAGACTTGGTCTGGCAAGAAAAAAATTTTTGCATTATAAAAAGAAGTGCTACCCAAAGTCATACTTTCTTTAATTACTAAAGTAAAACTGCTAAAGTAAAACTTAAATCAATCTTTGGAGAAAAGATTTTGGAGAAAAAGGCAACGTTTTTGTCAAAGCATTATTTATTATTGGACATACTAATGTCCTGGGCAATGGGATTAATGTAATATACCACATTTTTGCCAGATTTAAGTTTATGTCTTTCCTTAAACCAAGTCTATAGTAGTAGAACAACCTTTGCTTTAATTAAGTCTGATTAACTCCACTGTATATTTTAAATTTCTTGAATATTTTTCTTTTCCTCTGTTAAAGTTATTTACATGTGTGCTAAAATTAAACATTAGTTTGGTCAGATTACTGTCATCCCATAATGACTATACTCCAATATTTGGGTTAGTTTTACCTTCTTGGTGATGTCTGTATACTATTTTGTATGTATTTGTAAACAAACAATTTTTTCTTAAGTAGAGGCATTTCCATTTTGGGGTAGGTAGCACATATCTGTTCTGCCCCAGCTACGGGTCCCAAGAAGTGTAGCACACACACACAGCTCCAAAAACTCAGTTTAATACAAACAGACCCCTTTCAAAATGCAGGCTTTAATCACAAATGTCCTTATCAGCCTGCTATGAATTACAGAGATTAAACAAAATCCGACAAAATGCTCTGCGTAGGACCAAACGTTGTTTCCAGCAACATTTGCTATCTGTGTGCGAACTTAAATAGGCTAAGGGAGTGGCCAATTAACCCCAAGCCTTACTCTCGAAGAGACCTCCTCCTGAGTAGCCACTCCTGCCTTTTGGCAGCCCTGCGTGCTTGAGCATTGAGAAGAGGCTCCTCCATTTCACTCTCTTCACTTGAAGGAGCTTCTGGAGGTTCTGAAGGCCCTGGCTGAGTCTCTCCCTCTGGCACCACATCCTCTTCAGCCTACTCGCTGTCCGACTCAAGCGCCGGTTGCACAGGCTGCTGGCGCGACACCACACCAGCCTCCTCGTCATCAGGATCAGCCACAACTGTGCAGGCCGCTGGCAGGCCACAACAATATCTCACAAATAAATTCATTTCGTATCAGACTTTTGCTTTACTCCTTTTTTGCTGGAGTTCGTTATAAATTGAGGCAGAATGATTGGTTCCTTTCATCTGGAATAAAAACCCTTTTGCTCTTGCAATTTCTCTGCAGTGTGAGGGTAATGAAAGGGGCCCAAATCACTTTCCCTCTTTTTCATATGAGTAAGATACTTAGTGTAGCTACATGACAACCTCTCTCTCTCTCTCTCTCTCTCTCTCTCTCTCTCTCTCTCTCTCTCCCCCTCCCTCCCTCCCTCCCTCCCTCCCTCCTTCTCTCTTTTGTTTCTTGTAAATCAGACTGTGGGGAGAGCACTTTCCCTTCCTTTATAGGATGGAATGTGATGTCACATAGAGCGTCTTCATGGTGAGTATAGAACACGGCTTTTATTCTATGCTAACAGCTGAACAGAGTCTCTCTAGGCAGTTTTCATTTGTAGCTTTGACTGTTAGAAATGCAAGAAGTCAGACGAAAAGAGCCATGGTGGCACAGTGGTTAGAATGCAGTATTGCAGACTAACTCTAGATTCCCACTGCAAGGAGTTTGTCCTGACCAGTTGAAGGTTGATTCAGCCTTCAATCCTTCCAACATCAGTAAAATGAGGACCCAGATTGTTGGGGGCAATATGCTGACTCTGACACTTACAGAGGGCTGTAAAGCACTATGAAGTTGTCTAAGTGCTACTGCTAGTAAGCAACATACTTGAATTTCTGCATTTTCCTGGTTCCTACATTGTCAAGACCCTTCAGAGAAATTAACTTTCTTGCTCTAATTAACCCCTTAAAGCCTCCATTGAAAAATACTGAGAAAGTTAAGGAAATAATTGTTATGTTTCATTTAAGATTATTGTTGTTCTGCAAATTTCTGGAGGAAGCTTGTAATTCTTATGTTGTTGTTTTTTTTAAATTTGATTTATATGCCACCCTTCTCCGGAGACTCAGGGCGGCTTACAATGTGCTAAGCGGTTTGTTGTAAGTATCATGTTTCCCCAAAAATAAGACAGGGTCTTATTTTCTTTTGGGTCCCAAAATAAGCACTAGGGCTTATTTTCAGAGGGTGTCTTATTTTTTTTCATGTACGGGAGGCACACTTCTGCTTGCTTGCGGTGGGGCAGGCCGCCACGCGGTGTGTCAGTGCCACCTCTGTGAGGCAAGGGGGATGGAGCTGCCCCACGCACCCTGCACCGGCTTACCTCAGGGCCCCTGCAGCTAGGCCACCCACACCCCAACGCCTGCCTCGCCTCGCGGCTACGGCACCAGCAGCCACGTCCAGCACACCCCGCATGGCTGCCAGCCCACTTCTGCTTGCTCACATCCGCAACTGAGCAGGAGGCTAAGCAATGCACCTGTGCCACGGCCATGAGGCAAGGTGGGTGAAGGTGCCCCATGGACCTCGTCGCCTTCCTCGGATGAGTTTTTTAACCATGTTGTGGAAATGAGAATTTGCTAGGTTGACTGTAATGTAAAAAAAAATAATCTGGTTTTGTTATCATAGTTACAGTACTAGTTTTCAGGTCACTTAAAATGATAGGCAGTAAAAATTGTGGATAAGGTTTTGGGAATACTGTACTGTTGTCTTGTAGCAAAATAATAATTACATGCTCATTTAAATAAGGCTTTTTTGCAGCCTTCTTTGCTTTCAAAAGAGCCACATTTAAAGTGGGATAGGCCATCAAAACTGACAGCTTTTGCAGCTTGAGATGAGAATCTGTAGAAATTTTGTTATAGCAGAATTGCTTTTCTTCACATAAACACTGAAAATCTAATTCAGAATTACATTGAACTCAAATGTAAAAAATAGATGTTTGGGAAAGATGAACTTTTTTCAGACTTTGGCTTCTACTCTGCACACATTGAACAAAGTCATTTGATTTAGTTGGTATTCCTTAGCTTCATTTTGAAAAGTGTTTCTAAAACTAGAAACAAATTTTCTTTTGTTCTTTTGTATACTTTTTAATTTCATTTAGCCCTTCATCTTCTCTGATGCCAGCTTTGGCATTTCACTTCAGATTTGCATGAAACTGAATGTTCCCATTACACTTTGTAAACTCTGATTTCCTTTCATCTTTTAAGCCAAGATAATTTAATCCTGGCTTTTTTGTTGTGTTCATGACAGTAAGCCAGAATTTTTTGGATCATACTTAATGAGAAACATGGTTTAAATTATGATTTCTGGTGAGGAAGCTTTGCAGATTAATGGCAAAGTTAACCCACTGTCCTCTCTTTGTATGAAAATGTACAATAAAGGCTAATGGTTATGTGCACAATAATAAAATATGATTGTGGTTTTAAATGAGAGGTATCATTTATTTATTTGTTAAATTTATTTGCTGCCTATCTTGCCTTGGGGCTACTCTAGGTGCTAAGGAAGAAAATGAAAGGAGTGTAAACAGAACAGAAGCAAAATAATAGAACAATAAAATAAACAATGAAAAACAATGTAATGAGAATACATCAATATGATAACGAAAAAGATGGGCTGGTAGAGAGCAGAGTGCAAGGGGAGGAGGAGGTGACATCTGCCATCAATCCAGCAACCACCTCCAGCGTGGTTACCTGTTGTAATAATGATCTGGCAGTTCTTTTAAAATACGTGGTTTTTAGGGAAAATGTTTTAAGATTTAATTGTCCCACTTTGTCTCATTTTGCTATGTTTGTTTTGAGACAGCTATCACCTAAGGATGGGCCTAAGGATGAGGTTGGTATTTATATATTTTTTTTCTGTTAACATGTTGTTTGGCTGAATGGGAGCATGTTGATTGATGATTGTGCTGCAACTGAGAAAAAAAGTACTAGTCTATTTATATATTTCTTATAAAAATGCATGCTATAAACATCCCAAAACTTTTCCCCGGGGTGTTTTCATTTATCATATGGCTATGATATGGGTATAATAAAGCTTTAGTGAATACAATGCATGTGTTTTCATTCATGCATTACATTTTTGGATGTAATATTTTACCATTTCATGTAATGTGAGAACAGACTATGCTTCTAAAAAATCTTGCTCCTGAAAGTGATGTGAATCTCAGCTAGGAATTGTAGATGAGAGTGATTGTATGGGCGCTGCATTTGCTGGCATATTCAAGCAAAGTAAGAGCCTAAGCCCATTCAGCCCATGTTATTCTAAAGGCTACAAAATTCTATTCTATTCTATTCAAAATTCTAATCCTAGGCACAGAGAAAAAATAGGTTTACCTGTCTTATTTCAGACTTTCAGATTCTTCCAGTGATGATTTTTCTGTATGTTTGCAAAAACGGCTTGCAAAAAAAATGGCCTATTCATAGTGCAATTGGATAAGCTGAAAGAAAAATGACAATGTACAAATATTGAAGTTTGGGACATTAATTTGAAGATAGATTTTGGTAGGGACGCAATTGGCTAATTTTTGTTGTTTCACAGACTCATAGATGGGTAAAAATACCATATGCAGAACTTCTTTTACTCTCCTTTTAGAGTCAGTTAGTAAAGCTACAGCCAAGATTGAAACCACAGATGTTAGAAGTTCTACAACTTTATTTCTTTGATTTATGTCTGTTAAGGATATTGGTGTTGTGTTACCAACCAGCAGAGCGATGAATAAGAATTATGCAAACTGGTTTATCAAAAGCTTACTTTATAGTAGAAAAACAGTCTCATAGTCTTTAAACAAATTCCAAGTCTTTGCCAGTAAATCAGTCCAGTAGTTACAGATATCTTCTTACTCAACAAACAGTAGTTGGTTAGAATAACAAACTCACTCTGGTTCACAAACCACGATGGTAGCAGATTCCATCAAACGATGATTAGCAGATATCAACTCCTCTCAATGGTAGCTTATCATAGCAGCTTCATCATCAAACTGAATATGTTACAGTAGCTTGCTTAAATACTCTCACATTATACTCTCATTACCTAATTACAGCATGACTCAGCATTAAAGTCACATAATACATTTACAGATTAAAGTTACAGTACACTTATATTGCCTGGACAACTGTTAGGCTCAAACCATATCCTAACAATGTCCCTTCTCATGTTCCTCATCCCAAGTAGGAAAGCTGTTCTAACTATCATCATAATGGGGCTTAAATCAAATCCTCAGCAATTTTAATTAACTTGTATTGTTAATAACATTACTTATATTGTTGAAAGGAGGTGCAATGGCTCAGCAGTTAAAGATAGAACTTGTCAGCTGGAAAGCTGTTTGAAACCCAGTGCAATGGGGTGAGCTCCCATTGCTTGCCCCAGCTTCTGCCCATCTAGCAGTTTGAAAGCATGCAAATGCAAGTAGATAAAAAGATACCAGCATTCCATGCATCTCGGGGTATAGTCATTCTGGCCACATGACCACGGGAAAGTCTTTGGATAATGCTGGTTCCCTCGGCTAAGAAACAGATGAGCATTGCCCCTAGAGATGGATATAATTGGGTAGGGGAATTTTTTACCTTAATATCATTGAAAATTCAAACTAGGTAATATTTCCATTGGAGGAACTAAAATTTTATAAATATATGTAACCTTTTCCATTTCTTCTTCAAAGTTTGTTTAAAAAGTTTAAAGTTAAAAAAAAAGCAGCAGATTTGTTCTTATCTTTTAGGGTGTTTGTGGAATCAATTGCCAGAGAAGAGTTGGTCTTCTGTGAACAGGATGGGTTCAAATGAAGGATTCATTAAGTAGAATTTGAGCCTGGTCATTTGTGCCTCAAGTAAGAACTTTAGGTTGATTTTGTCACTGCATTTTTGTATTTTTTTTTTTTAAATTTGATTTATATGCTGCCCTTCTCCGGAGACTCAGGGCGGCTTACAATGTGCTCAGCAATAGCCTTCATCCTTTTGTATATTTATACAAAGTCAGCTTATTGCCCCCACAACTGGGTCCTCAATTTACCTACCTTAGAAAGGATGGAAGGCTGAGTCAATGTTGAGCCTTGGCGAGATTCGAACCTGCAGTAATTGCAGGCAGCTGGTTTTAATAACCAGCTTAATAACAGAGTGCCTTAGACCACTGTACTACCAAGGTTCTTTACAGATGAGCTCATATTTTTGGACTTTAAGACTTTCCGTAGCTTGCCAAACTTCTTATCAGTAAGCTAACTATGCATGTCCGCATTCCTTTTTTTTCTACTTCTACACTTTCTTTGTTCTCTTGCCAAGAAGTCCAGCTGCTGAGAGGTAGCCGGCAGGAGCGTTGCCAAAATGTAATTATTTAGATAGTTAGATGTTTTATTTTCTTTATAACAAATAAATGAGTTTTTCCTTAGAAAAATATATCTTTAGGTTTTATTTTCTTAAAGTATGCACAAGGAAAATGCCATGATCCACGTCTCTAAATCAAGGTGCGATTACCCAAAAGCAGAATGGGATTAATTATCGTGCTGACACCTGATAGCAGACGGACGGTTCGAGATTTATGGCTTTTTCCTTGCTTGTTACTTTGATTAGACCTCTAGGCTAGTTTAGCCAGATGATTATTTTTGCAACTGCGGAACGCTGATTAATTGTCTGCTAAGATGCCGAACAAGAAGAAAAAGGGCAAAATGAAACTCAGAGCATTCCCTATTAATGATTTCAACCTCTCCTACGAAGAAGAGGCAGAAAGGAGGTTTTCAAGTTTCCGGCCGCTCGCCTCAGCCACCTGGCTAGAGGGGGCCGTGGGAGGAGAAGAAACGGATGAAATGCTCTTATGAAGGCTTCAGGAGGAACATAGAGGCAGAGCTGCTTTTGAAGGCGAAGCACTACGACTGAGGTCAGTAACGCCCCCTTCCAATTATGCATGCTCTCAAACTGTCCTCCCAGAACCTGAATTTGAAATGCTTGGTGCAAAGCCAAAGTTTCTACAAACTGCCGAGCATTTTCACCCCCATGCAGAGACAGAAACAATTCATTATTCGCCTCGCAGTTCCGATCTCTCCCTTCGTGAGCTAGCTGTAAAAAGCTATAGTGATCTGATAAAAATTTTTGAACATGAGCTATCCCAGGCAAAAATGGCTTTATGTTTGAGCAAGATAAGAGAGAGTCTAGTGCTTTTAAAAATCTCTAAAAACGCCATTTTGCCTTCTCCTTCAGAGCCAAAGACACACACCCTGGTGGATTTTGTGTCAGGCCAATCAGAACAGAGAGCTGTGCACACGTCACATGTGTCACATGATCATCTCTATTCTCAAATTACAAATGCCACGAATGCAGAAAGATTACCTGAGCTGCCTAAAACTGAAGTTGTAGCACCATCTGCTGGCAAAACTAATTCACTAGAGAAAGTTGAAATGCACCGCATCTTGAGAGAACAATTACAATTATTGCAGAAGACTCTATCAGAGATGTCTTTAACTCACTCAGATATTCAGGCTGCAATGCCACAAGTGTCTCCACAGGCTCAATTTCCAGCACCCCCTGGTGGTGCTGGTGTCCTTTTAGATGGAACACAACAAAGCTTAATGCAGCAAAGGCAAATGACTGGGTGTCCAGCAGGCCATGTTAATATTGCAGCTCAAATGCCACAGCTCCAACCATAAATGCATGCACACGTGCCTCCAGCTGTACAACCAGGGCCAATTCCTGGTCCACATCAAGCACAGCAAATACCACAGGTATTTTTACCGGCACGGCCAGCATACCAAATGCATATTCCTCACCAGGCATTTTCTGTTGCTCCACTAGCTGGTGTATTGAAATTAAAGATGACAGGACAGAATTATAAGGCCTGGGTCAGTGAGATTGGATTGTTACTTCGCAGAGAAGGTACTCACTGTATTGTTTTTAATCCTCCTGCTCAGCCATGGACTCCTGCAATAAGAGACTTAGACAACATGCACAACATTATTGATGTCCATGGATACTGAACTGCAGGTTACCTTTCCGCCTGATGCAACAGCCCAACAAATTTGGGTCCAATTGGAAAATTGCTACAGGCCAGTTTCAATTGAATCTTCATGTTTGCTCATGTACGAGTTCCATGGTTCGAGATTGAAACCTGGTGAACAAATTAGAGGACATTTGACCAAACTGAAAGGAATCAGAAGAGAATTGAGAGAAAGAGGCTATAATATTGATGATATTCAAATGATCAGCATTATTATTAACTCACTGAATTATGAATGGAAAGATGCCATTACAAAGATTAATCTAGTGCCCATTGCTCAACGCACAGTGGACAATGTATGCAGACTTTTAACTGAAGAAGAAGCACTTATGTTAGCCACTCCACATTTGAGAGGACCACCCGCATCAAGAGCTCCAGCTAGGCGCCCCTTCCGAGGAAGGACCTACGCTCCAAGGATGCCAAGATGCTACATCTGAAATCGTGTGGGACATGCCACCCGGGATTGTCCCCAACGAGTTCCAGCTCCCGTCCCATACCAGCCCAGAGGAACAGACTCCAGAGGCAGAGGCGGAAGACAAGGTTGTCATGGTCCCCAACATGATTCGCAAGCTCCACTCGCCACATTGGCTTTAACCAATGATCCACAACCTCAACCAGAGTATGACAGACGACTCCTGTGGACTTTGGACAGTGGTGCAGCGTTGCATGTTACCTACAGAAAGGAACTTTTCACAGAGATGCACGAGCCTGAACCTGAACTACGTGAACTTTATTCTTTTTCCAATCATCCTTGTCAGGTCAAAGGAAAAGGAACTGTTTATGTTAAAGAGCTCGATGCATTCATTCCTGATGTTTATTATATACCAACAGCAACTAGTAATTTGCTTAGTCAGAGTCACTTGTCTAGAGCATTAAAGTTCCAGGTTCACCACCTTGAGAAAGCAAGTTACATAGTTAAAGATGAAGATATTGTTGCTGAAACCATGTTAATTGGTGGTGTTTATTACTTAAAGCCAAAGCCTAAACCGCAAACACAGGCGAGTATACCAGAAGAGGAGAGCACAGGCCCAGAGAGAGATGCTCCAGTGAGAGATCATATTGCTACTCCAAAGGCTTCTAAAGCCAACAAAATGAAAATTAGGAAACAGGTTGCTCAGAGCAAGCCTGAGGTTCCTCATAAAAATGTTAATGTTGAGAATTCACTAACTGGTAAACCTTTGCATTCCAGGTGTATCCATAAATGGCATAGAAGATTGGGGCATGCCAGTTTCCGTGTTCTTAGGAAGATGCCGGAGTTCGCTAAAGGTTTGGATCTAAAGGGATGTAAGGTGTTTTTGGATTGTGCTGTATGCAAAAAGGCCAAATCCAAAGCAGCAGCCCTTCCCAAACGCGCTACACGCCCATCAACACGCATTTTTGATTTGGTTCACACTGACATAGTTGGTCCTTTTCCGCCAACGCTTAGTGGTAGAAAATATTTTCTAACAATTGTTGATAATTATTCTAGATATGGATATGTATATCCTATGAAAGAAAAATCTGAGACTTTTCAGATCTTTAAAGACTTTGCTGCTCTTGTCTCTACCCAACACCAAGTTCGCATCGCCAGAATCCAGAGTGATTGTGGTGCTGAATCCATGTCTCAGCGTTTCCAGGATTGGATGCGTAAGAATGGAATTCTTCACCAGACGTCGGCTCCTTACACACCGGCTCATAATGGGGTCGTAGAGAGACAACAAGGGGTACTGCAAACCATGATGAGTTGTCTCCTAGAAGACGCCAACCTTAGTAACCCATACTGGGGTGAAGCTATCAAATATGCAAATTACATTGTCAACCGTACTTGGAGCAGTGTAATAAATCAGACTCCTTTCTTCATGATGTATGGCTACAAGCCTGATCTCAAAAACATCCATATTTTTGGTTTATATGCTATGGTGAACATTCCCTTAGCTCAAAGAAGAAAAGGAGGTCCAGCAGCAAAGAGACTGAGATTTATGGGTATTGATGATAACTCAAAATGGAGCAAATTTATTGACTCTAAACATGTAATTGTGATTTCCCAATCTGCTAATTTTGAGGAAGATATTGACTGGTCCAGGATTCATCCAATGATCGTGGAGTTTATTTTCCTAGAGATGATACTGCTGATGCTGCGCAGATTGATGATCAAGATTCCACTAGTTCTTCTCAACCTGATGTTCCGTCTTCGCAAGCCGCGGATGCTGATGCTAGCGACAAATGTGAGGATGAGGACAAAGCGGAAGAAGACTGGACTGTTGTTCCGAGACGTTCCAAGAGGTCACAAAGGGAATCCCTCAGAGGGATTCCCTCCACAACGATATTCTTGGCAACTGACAAAAACACCCTTACGTTTGATTTGCAATGTTACACTTCCACCTGATACGTTCACGCAAATCAAACATCTTCCTGATTCAGAGCAAGACAAATGGTATGAAGCAATGCAGGTTGAAATGGACAGTCTAAAGCAACTTAAAGTGTTTACACCTACAAAACCTCCAGCAAACAAAAGGGTCATTGGCACTCGTTTTTGCATTTACCAGATGAGTCATATTTTTGGACTTTAAGACTTTCCGTAGCTTGCCAAACTTCTTATCAGTAAGCTAACTACGCATGTCTGCATTCCTTTCTTTCTACTTCTACACTTTCTTTGTTCTCTTGCCAAGAAGTCCGGCTGCTGAGAGGTAGCCGGCAGGAACGTTGCCAAAATGTAATTATTTATATAGTTAGATGTTTTATTTTCTTTATAACAAATAAATGAGTTTTTCCTTAGAAAAATATATCTTCGGGTTTTATTTTCTTAAAGTATGCACAAGGAAAATGTCACGATCCACGTCTCTAAATCAAGGTGCGATTACCCAAAAGCAGAATGGGATTAATTAGCACCCTGACAGATTTGTCCAGTTCTTCTTTTTTTCTTTAATATTCTTCCTTCCTTGCTTCATCAAAGTCCCAACTTTTCTTTCTATAGAGTGTCACACTCTATAGAAGTCATTGCTTGCACTGTTCTGATTTAAATGAATACAACTATCCCTGTTGTATATTCAATAATAAGGACTGTTCAAGTATTAATTGCTTTAATGTTTTCACCATTTAGCTTTGATTTCAAAATTTTCCAACTCACTGTATTTTCTTTGACTTGATTCTGTGATAAATCGGAAGACTCCAAAATTACCAAATATTTGTAACCGCTTTGTTCCACTTCTTACAAAATCTTCATTGTTAAGCATATTCTATCATCTTCAACAATCTTACTTGCCTTTATGGTTATGGTTGTATATATGTTAATACAATATTGTACTTCATATCTTTACTGAATCCGTAGTGATCTTTTTTAATAAGGAATCTAGTTCAGCCTTTGTTCTTCCAAGTAATTTTAAATCATCAATATTGAGTAAATGTGAATTTTTTACTTTGTTTTCGCAAATGTATATTCACAGTTTGTCTTGTTCAAACTTGTTTTCAGCAAGACCATTGAGAGTGCAAACAATAATGGTGATAATGAGTCATCTTGGAAAATTCCACATTTGATTTTGACTTCTAACCCATTAGCCGTCAGCTTCGTTCACCAAAACTTCATTGAAGTATTCATAAACCAGCCTGCTTTCCATTGAGGACCTGTGTCAGGTCCCAGATATTTCTACAGGGATGCTGGCATTTTGGTGGGAGGAAGAGGGGAGGAATGGAGTGATCTGATTATGAAGTTTTTGTTTCCTGCACTACTGTGCTAATCTCTATATGAAGTTTCTGTTTCTGTTTCTTGCATTACTCTGTGTTAATCTCAATATGAAGTTTCTGTTTCCCTGCAGTGATGTAGTGTGGGAGGGGCTTGGTTAGCATTGCTTTAAGTAGCTGGTTTTAAGTGAAAAGCTTCAGTTCTTGCCTAGATCTCTTGTTATCACAAACCTTTCAATAAAAGCTCCTTTTGGAATAACTGCAGTTTCAAGAGTCCTGCTTTCTTGGGAAGATTGGAGAGGCAAGACCTTACAACCTGTATATTGCACAACCAGAAAGACGACTGAGAAAATATCTTACATACCCCTCACTTCCTGGACATAAACTGTTTCAACACCTCCCCTCAGGACTCTTCTATAGGGCATTCCATGCCAAAATAATGGGTTGTTTGTATGTACACTGAGACCTCATGCACCAGAGACAAATCCCCATGTATGTTCAATCACACTTGGCCAATAAAGAATTCTACTCTACTCCACTCCTTAAAACCAATTTGTCAATCAAACTCATCCTTCATTCCTTTCAAACTTTTGCAACGTTCTTTTTATTCTACAGGAAATAAATCATTTCTTTTCAAATAACTAGATTTGATTTGCAATTATGCCTGTAAGAGAATTTGTTATTGCAAACAGTTATGTGTCTGTAGTATCTATGCTCATTTTCCTTCTCTTTCTTTTTCTGAGAAATGGGAATGTTCTTCCAGTTGCTAGCCAGTTTCCATTTTCTACAGCTTCCAAAATTATATTCATCAGAATCCCAACCTCAAGTGTGGATTTGTCAGTGATTTTAGCCAGAATCCATGGAGCTCATCTGGTTCAGGAGCACTCCAGTTTTTTACCTTCTCTGATTGCTTTCATACTATTTCTTCAGCCATCCTAATCTCTTCCATACTGAGTACTTTCAGCTTGGTTGACCCATTTTGCATTCCCAGTGTGACTCCTGTTGTTTTCCCACAAACCTTTCTCTAAAGCTTTATCTTCCAAAGTTTTTTTTTTAATTTTTCAAACAAAAAACAACATAAAAGCATCATCCTTTCAAACAATTACAGACAGTGTTTCAGTCGGTTAATATTTTCGTGCTCACAAACTCTTCAAGATATCAATATATGACACGTTTCTTTTCCACTAAGAAAAAGACAAATTTTTACACATTTTATCTTAATTTCATTTCATATATCATATTTCATCTCCATGTTTTATTACCTATCCATTGATAAAATAAATCCCATATCAAATAATATTGTTTATCTTCCTGTTCTCTTATTTCAAATGTCAATTTACTCATTTCAGCACAATCCAACATTTTCTTAATAATTTCTTCATCAATAGGTATCTTCTCTCCTTTCCAATTTTTGGCAAATACAATTCTAGCTGCTGTTAAAACATTCACAATTAAATATTGCAGTTCTTTATTAAATGTCTCTGGTAAGATCCCTAATAAAAATGTCTCTGATTTAAAATCAATATGTCTCTTTGTCATTTTTTCCAAAAATGTGTGTATCTAATATCTCCTTGCTTCTACGCATGTCCACCACATATGGTAATATGATCCTGGGGTCTGATGACATTTCCAACACTTCTTCAATTTATTCTTAAACATTCTGGCTATCCTCGCCGGGGGTAGATGCCACCTGTAAAACATCTTATACAAATTCTCCTTATATGCTGTAGACATTTTCATTTTATAATTATGCAACCACCATTTTTGCCATTTCTCTAAATCAATAGAGAAGTACTACCAAGAGCCTTGGTAGTACAGGGGTTTAAGGCACCCTGTTATTAAGCTGGTTATTAAGACCAGCTGCCTGCAATTACTGCAGGGTTCGAATCTCGCCAAGGCTCAAGGTTGACTCAGCCTTCCATCCTTTCTAAGGTAGGTGAAATGAGGACCCAGTTTGTGGGGACAATAAGCTGACTTTGTATAAATATACAAAAGGATGAAGGCTATTGCTGAGCACATTGTAAGCCGCCCTGAGTCTTCGGAGAAGGGCGGCATATAAATCAAATTAAAAAAAAAAAAATACCGTAACCAAATTTTTTCCCCCACGCTATCATTGATTCTTTAACTTGTTCTTCTTCCAATTTTACTTCTAGCAAATATCCGTATAACTTTTTAATTACATGGTCATCTGAACCCATTAAAATCTTATCTAAATTAGTCAAAACATTATAAAAACCTTCTTGTTTGAGATCTTCTCGATATCTAGAAACTATTTGCATATATGAAAACCAGTCCATCTTACATCCCTGATCTTCTAATTCCTGCTTTAATTTAAGTTCCCCCTTTTCATCCAATAATTCACTATATCTAATAATTTGTTCCCTTTTATATATTACTGGATATGAAAAAGCTTCAATTGTAGATACCCAGACTGGAATCTTCAGATAGTGATTTTTTTTAGCCTTCTCCCAATTCAACCAGAAAGCTTCCTGTATCTGATGTCTTCTAAAGTACCCCTGTATTTTAGTTCCTTTATACCATAGAAAGACATGCCATTCCATCAACAAATCATGTCCCTCCAAGTTCAATAATCTAGTATTTCTCAAAGTTATCTATTCTTTAATCCACATTAAACTTGTTGCTTGATAGTATAGTTCAAAGTTAGGCAGGCCAAAGCCACCCCTCATTTTAGCATCTTGTAACAACTTTAATTTTATTCTCGTCTTCTTTCCCTGCCAAATATATTTCAATATCATTTTATTCAAATCTATAAAGAATTCCTTACACAACTTGATCGGGATTGTCTGAAATAGATACAAAATTCTAGGCAAAATGTTCATCTTAATCATTGAGATCCTACCAATCAAAAATAGCTGCAAATTTCCCCATTTCATCAAATCTTGCCCTATTTGTTCTTTAAGCTTATTATAATTATTTTCTTTAAGTGTGCTACACCTTGCTGTCAAATAGATGCCCAAATATTTTACCTTATTTGTAACCTGCATCTTTGAAATCTCCATCAATTCCTCTTTTTGCTTTTTCAATGTATTTTTAGTCATTATCTTAGTTTTATCTTTATTAATTTTCAAGCCAGCTACTTTCCCAAACTCTCCAATAGATTCTATCAATTTATTTATTGTTATTAATGGTTCCTCAATAATAAAGACCAGGTCATCTGCAAAGGCTTGTAATTTATATTCTTCTTTTCATATTTTCATACCTTTTATCTCTTTTTCTTCTCTGATATTTCTATTTAAAACTTCTAAAGTCAATATAAACAACAATGGGGACAACGGATATCCTTGTCTAGTACCTTTTTCTATTTCAATAGAGTCAGTCAATTCACCATTTATCATTACTTTTGCCATCTGTTTAAAATATATAGCTTCAATTGCCTGGATAAATTTCCTACCAAAGCCCATCTCTTCCATTTGAAGTATCATAAATTGCCAGTTAACATTGTCAAAAGCTTTTTGTGTATCTAAAAATATCAACACCATCTGCTTTTCCGGATGTGCTTCGTAGTATTCTAAAGTATCCAGAATTATTCTTTTATTATCTCTAATTTGTCTTTTTGGGAGAAATCCATTCTGATCTGTATGTATAAAATTATTCAGGTATCTCTTAAGTCTTTCTGCCAGTATTGTAGCAAAAATTTTGTAATCTGAATTTAGCAGGGAAATAGGCCTATAATTTTTGATTTGTTGTGGGTCTGTATCTTCCTTATGAATCAATGTAATGTACGCCTCAGTCCATGATTTGGGTATTTTCTTCTTTATCATCACTTCATTCATGACATCCAGTAATGGGAGACTTAAAGATTCTTGTAATGTCCTGTAATATTCAACAGGTAAGCCATCTGGTTCTGGTGCCTTTCCATTCTTCTGTTTCTTAATTGCTTCTGTTAATTCCATCATTGTTATATTCCCCTCCAACATCTCTTCAGTATCTTTGGGAATCCGAGGTAATTTTGCATCTTGTAGATATCTTGCCACTTTTTCCTCCTCTATCATCTCTCTTTTGTGAAGTTGTCTATAATATTCTTGTATTATTTTCCCCATCTCTTTATTTCCAAATTTACTTTGCCCTTGATCATCAACTAGTTAAATTATTTTTCTTGATTCTCTTTCTTTTTTCAATTTATATGCTAGCCATCTTCCTGGTTTATTCGCATTTTCAAAGTAATTCTGTTTTGCACTTCTTATTTTTTGGGGTAAATCTTCTTTCTCCAATAGGTCCATTTTATGTTTTATTGTGTCCATTTTAATTTTGATATCTTTCTTATATGGACCTTTCTGGAGTTCCTTTTCAAGTCTTTTATAATCGTCAATCAATATTTTAAAGTTCTGTCTTTTCTTAACATTTCCTTGTATAGTCTATGATTAATCCTCTGGCATAGGCCTTCATTGTATCCCAATGATTTTGTGCCGATGTTTCCTTCTTGTTTTCTTTAAAGAAGTCCAACTCTCTTTCCATTTTCTGTACAAAATCTTTCTCTTTTAATATTGTGGTATTTAAAGTCCATCTAGATCTTCTTTTACGCCCTTTCCATATAAATGTCACCAGATTATGATCTGCCCATAAATTAGGTTTTATTTCCACATGTTCTATATTCAACATCAAATCCATTGTTGTCCATATCATATCTAGTCTGGACTATCATACATATATTATCATATTCCATTTCAATTATTTTGTTACGTAATTTTCTATAAAAGTCTCTTTGATTGTCATTTGGAGCATATATTGCTACTAGAAGAATTTTCATATTATTATCTATTAATTCCACTATCAGAATTCTACCTTCTTCGTCTGCATATTTTTGCTCCACCAATATTACATTTTTGATATATAAGGCAACTCCTCTCTTTTTACTTTGTGATAGTAATAGAAAAGTTCTTCCAAGTTTTGGTTGTATCAATAGTTGTTCATGCTGTTTTTTAATATGCACTTCTTGTAAACAAATTATGTCAAATTTTAGTTTCTCTAATTTAGTCCATTTACATTTATTGAAATTAATTTCCTTTCTTCCATGTTCATACTTCATATGTAGGTTTTGTTGCTCTAGATGATCTTACTTCACGTTGTTCCTTACGTTCCACAACCCCACCGACAGCTCCTTCTGTTGATTCAAGCATTGCCAGTTCTTCTTCTGTGAATGTAATTGGAACTACTGCAGCTTGTGTTTCAACTTGGATTACTACTTCTTTTTCTTTAAGAAGTTCATCGTAAAAAGCTCTTGCTTTCTCAGTTGTATTCAACCTACATCCTTGGAGCTGCCATGTGAAAGTTAATCCTTCTGGGACCAGTCATCTATAGTTAACTCCTTTTTGAATCAAGATTTTTTGTCAAGAATTGGCATTCTCTTCTCAGCTCTCTAATCTTTCTTGGTATTTGTTTCAAGACAGCCACTTCTTTCTCCTTGTACTTCAGGGTTTTTTCTCTAGCTGCCTGAAGTATTTGTGTTTTAATCAATTTCTTGGTAAATCTTATGTGTACTTCTCTTGGCAGTTTGTTGCGCATAGCATATCTGGTATAAACTCGATAAATTTTGTCCACCCCATCCATCATTTTCTCTTTAGTGATTTCTAGCTCCTCAGCCAGCAAATTAATCATAATATCCGCCAAATTTTCTCCTTTTTCTTCCTCCACATTTTGGAATCTCAAATAAAATTCCCCTTTGTCCATCTCCCATCCAATAAAACCACTTGTTTCTTGTTCAACCTCTCCCAATCTATTCTCTATTTCTTTTATTTTTTCCACGTTTTGATCATCTCTCTTCTCTAGTTTTGACATTCTTTCTTCATATTTTAACATTGTTTGCTGAATACTGATCACTTTTTCATCCATTTTATGAACTTTCTCATCTGTCTTAAGTAGTTGTTGTTCCATTCTTAAAACTGTTTGAAAAATCATTTGTAGTGATGGGTCTTTCTCCTTCTCTTGCTGCAACATTGCTTGTATAGATCTTTGTCCTTCGGATGGTGATGAGAAAGGCGTGGAGGCAGCAACTCCCACTGTTGCTACTTTTCTGCTCATTTTGTTGAATATCCAGCCAAAGCAACGTCCAGGAAAAAAAACAAGTTTTAAAAAGAAAAGGCCAAGCAAATAAAAAAGAAAAAAGTGTCCATCTAAGCAGTCAAACCAATCTCTTTAATTTTTTTTCTTTTAAAAAGGCAGAGTTTAAAAAATTAGCAATGCTAATCTTCTCACTTCAATCCAGTCCCGGGCTATAGTGAAAGTGAAACACTTAAGTCTTTCGAATTAGATAATTGGGTATTAGAAGAAAAACTTTTCCCAGGTCATTTCGCTGCTTCTCTCTTACTCTCTATCTCCAGCTTCAAAATCTTTTTCCTTTAGAGTGTTCTTTGTATCATTTAAAGAAGTAAAGATTCTCTCACCGATCCGATTTACTGTCTTTCATTCCTCTCTTCCTGAAACTGCCCCAGCCTCGGCAGCCTATGGCTGCTGCTCCGCCGCCAGAAAAAGAGCTTTCCTGGATCAACCAGGGACTTTGCGATGTCCCTGGGATCCACAGGATGTGCTCTCCACTACCACAGTCAAAACTAGACTGTGGGGTCTGAGATGGACCATCCAGCAGCGGAGTTATCGGCAGGAATTCTGGAGCCCCAGAAATTCCTGTCATCTCGCAGAGGCATCAGCTTCCAGCATTCCCTCTAAAGCTTTATGAAGCTTTCCATTATTTGTGATTGGTCCTTTCTCATTATCGATGGATTTGTAGAATTGATGCTGATTTGGTCTAAACTGCAAATTCTGCTGAAATTGAATTATTTGATTGTCATAGCACTTGATTTTCCTTGTAATAACAATGACTCTATTATTATGGTTCACAGTTACTAAAGTAATAAAAAAATAACTATGACCAGTCTTCTCATTTATGACCTTCAGGTCTGAAAGCAAAGGCAAGCTGAAGTTAAGTCCGTAAGCATAGTGATAGGTCTTATTTAGCTATCAACAACAACTGAATTGCTGGTCCCAATTGTGATAACTAACTTAAGGACTATTGCTAGTTATTTTCTACTATGTTTTTGAAACATAAGAGATTGGCAGTGAAGCCTCTTTAATAGAATGATCTAAATCATTTAGCAAAATTAAGGTGTTGCTTCAAACCATAATTTAGTATAAAATCTGAATTTTAAAAACCGTGGTTTGTAGCAGCTTCACAGCAGGAGGAGTTGCTGGGCATAGATAGAAACATCCAGGATCTTGGATGCTGCATGACATCTATCCTTGTTCCATGATCTTGACAGTTTTCTTGCTGAATTGTAAGTATTTCCATTTGTATATACTTATGTCTGTGCTCATACTGACTTTGTTTGTGGTCAGTCTTGCACTTCAATATAGTCTTAACCAGCAGCTGGAACTGACACTGTTTATGTATAGAATTTATTTAGGATAGCTTTGGCTGTTGAGGATGATATGAAGTAAGTTTGGAAAAATATTCATGTGACTTTCAGAGTAGCTGTATTTCCTGGTTTTTTATAAATATTTTTATAGGAATCTACTTTGTGATAGTTAAAAATTAGAATGCATTTTTGTATTTATCAGATTTGATTTAATTTAGATATTTTAAAATTTTGCTAAAGAAGACAAAATTTATTTGGAGTTTTTTTTTCTTCTGTTCGATTGTGTCTGATTCTTGGAGACTGCCTGGAAATGTCCCTGCAGTTTTCTTGTCAAGGTTCTTCAGAAGGTTTTCAGAAGGAGGCAAATAACCTGAGAAGGACTGAGAAGAAATTACTGGCCCAAGGTCACTCAGCTGGCTTCATGGCCTGTCCCAAGGGAAGACTAGAACTCATTATCTTCCAGTTTCTAGCCTGGTGCCTTAACCACTACACCAAACGAGGGGTAAATTGCCTCTGTCCTTAATTATGGAGTAGTATGTTGTGAAAAGCATGCTTTTGGAGCCTAGATTTAGGGTCATTTAAAAAAAAATAATGAAAAGTATGCCAAGCGTTTGCCTGCCTGCTTTCCATTTTCCAATCTCTAACATGAATTTTGCATAGTTGAAATAAAATCTAAAACTGAAGATCACAGGAGGCAATGTGGCTGTCAGTTCCTAGTAACGCATTCATCACAAATTGAACTCCGAGGCATTCCGTTTTCTCAAAGAATAAATTTATTTAGATACACCATCTTAGCACTAACTGGTGAAAAGCCAGTACTTAAGTTCTCGGACTTTTCACCCCAGTATAAATTTCAGTTTCTCAAGTTTCCAAAACAAACTGTCACATTGTCCAACCAAGATGGGAGCTGGTTGCTTGGCGACTTCTCTCCTCCTCCAGTCAGCCAGCTGTTGGAATGTGTTTGACTCATCAGCTAGCTATGATGTTTTCGCTGAAGGCTCTATCCTCCTTCAGCTCCAAACTGTGTCAAACTGAATTCATGTCAGAATACCCAAGGATACCAACAATCCCACACCCCAATCAAATTCAGGCTTGACAGGCTGCCCCCCCTCAACAGAAGGAACACCCCTGCAAGAGTCGGGTTAGTCAGTGCCACTAGCTCCCTCTCCCTCCCCCAGGAGGCCTGTTGGATTTTTGAGGGTACTTGTCATGAAACTGCTTTACCAATCTATCTGCGCTTACTTTCCAGCTCTTCACCCAGGTGGCCTCAGAAAGTGTCAAGAGTTTGTTGCGGCACACATAAGTAGACTATTAAGCAGGATTCATTAATTTCTCTTTATATATAATATAACACATGAGGCATACAATACTCTTGTAGGTTTTTCCACGTTGTAGAGAAGAGAAATAGCAAGTACAAACACAGCACAAAATGGAAGCGCAAAGTGAAGGAGAGAGAAGCTAGTGCCCTCAAGTTTATATACACAACAGTAAAGCCACACCCAGGCTCCAAACTGTCTCTTACGGTCCCATACAACAAATACTATGTTTCAGTTACCAAACAGCCCTCATTGGCTGACCCTGTTGCTTTGCCCTATTCCAGTCTATGAACATACTCTGACAGAAAGTGGGTACCTCTTCCAATACACCAAGTATTCCAATTTTCCCCTTTGCACTCTTGAGTCTAAGAGTCTCTTTATCTCGTACTGAGGTTAACCCTCGATCACCATGGGCTTAGGGGGTGCTCGACCTACTGGTCGGACTTGTGAACTCAATGCTGGTTTCAACAGGTGTTCTGACCTAGGTTTCCTGAGTCAGTAAAACACACAGGTAGTCCCAAAAACCTGTTTTATTTTAACAGCTGTGAATTCTGTTCATTCACAGATGAGTCCCAAATAGTTGTAAAGAGTCCTTCGGGATAAGGCCCACCTTTATCTCCCTTGATACGTTGCCAAAGACCTAATTGGCAAAGCCACACGGAGTCCAGAATCAAACAGCTTCAGACTTTAAACCGCACAGAATTAACAACATTGCTTCCTGCAAAGGCCCATGTGCCTTTGCTCCTCTTTTAAGTCTTATGGGAGGGGCCAATCATCTCCAAGCCCTACTCCTGAGTTGTCCCTTTTGTTTTAACTGTTCTTGCCTTCTGGCAGCTCTGCGCATGTGTGCACTGGGAACAGGCTCCTCCTGTTCCTCTGCCTCGCTGAGGTCCGACTCTGGAGGCTTCGGAGGCAGCATATACTTCCCATATGGCCCTTTCTCTGCCTCCAATGCAGAGCCCTCGTCTGAGTCTTCCCCAGACTCCAGGACTGGCCCATATTCCTCCCCAGCCTCCTCACTGTCAGACTCTGCTGCCAGCTCCGCAGGTTGCTGGCTGACCACAACAACAGGTTGCAGTGGAATACCAGATGTACCTTCTCCAGCAACCGGGGAAGTTGAAGTCGTACCTTGACCGGGTTTATCACTTTCACTATGGGGAATGGTCCTAGGAACTTGGGACCAAGCTTCTTTGAGGCTAGTTTTAATCTCAGATACTTTGTGGACAAGTAAACCCTATCCCTCACTTTAAACTCCGTTTGGGGAGACGGGTGCTTGTCAGTCTGTTTTTTATATGCCTTCGCTGCCTCACTTAGGGCCTGTTTCGTATTTTCCCATGATTTCTTCAACGATTCCATCCACTCAGTTAGTGACATGGAGGAAGATGGTTCCCTAGGGAGCTTTGTTACGGGGACAAATTCTACTCCACTGGTCACTTGGAAGGGGGTCAGGCCAGTGCTTCTGTGCACAGCCACTTTAGCAAATGGCAGCAACTCTGCCGAGTCTGATTCCTGATAGTTGACATAAAATATTGCTCCATCATGGTGTTGGTCCATTCTGTGGTCCCATTAGTGCTCAGATGAAATGCTGAACTAAGCCCTTGTGAGGACCCAATGGCCCTCATGAACTTAGCGGTGCATTGGACCCCCTGATCAGAAATGATTCTGCGGGGGACTCAATGCAACCTATAAATATGCTTGATGTTAGCCAACTTCCACGCTGACAGGAGTCCTGGGCAAGCTACAAAATGGCCCTGTTTGGAAAACAAGTCTACGGTCCAAATGACCGTCCAAATGTGGTTGGGGCAGTGGGCGATTGGGAGAGTGGTCTCTTCAGCACCTCGCTGGGCTTAGCTGGGGCCGTTGGCTGTCATGGCTCACCCCGATGAAGCCCTTTGGGCAGGTCCTCCGGTCCTGATTATGAGTTGCTGCGGGGAAGTCATATGGCCTCGACTCACCCGGAGGTGATAGGTCCCACTCTCTCTTGCTGGCAATGGCCGTCAGTTCCTTTGGCAACGCCTCCAGCTGGGGCCGTGCCGAACTCTGGGATGAGCCATGGGGCCGAGTGTCGTATTCCTCCTGGTCTGGGCTGCTCTTGGTCGGTGCCTGGACGCTGGGTGTCGGTAGCTTGGTTTTTGGCCAAGCGTTCTCTGCCACCACTTCAGCCGGCTGCCAGGTGCTCTTGGGAGCCGGCCGCTTGCTCAGGCAGCCCCCCATCTCTGCCTGATTCTCTCTCTCTCTTTTTCAATCCTCCGTCTTCCATGAGTCTTCCGACTCCCTGGGGTGCCCAGGGAGCAGCTGGGGCTCAGAACCCTGGAATGTAGCTCCTGTTGGAGCAAAGTTTTTAGGTGTACTGGCTTAATGCCAGGTTCCAAGTAATGCATCCATCACAAATTGAACTCTGAGGCATTCTTGTTCTCCAGTGTGCTGCTTGGAGAATCCAAAAGCGAGGGTTATTCATCAGTCCAGTAGTCAGCACTGAGTGTATGTGTCTTTAAATTTCTTTAGACACGTCTCCTTGTTCGTCAGAGGCTCAGTTTTTATTCACTCAGTCAGCTAATCAGACTTGTTTTTTGCTCATCTCTGGTGTCTGGACTTTTGAATAAATTCTTCACTTTTGGATTCTTCTATTCTGACCTTGGATTGGACTTGACCTTGATTTGGATTTCGATTTGGACATTTTCGACTTGGTTTAGATTAACAAGGAATTTTTTTCCTTATTTCTGCTCCTCATTGTCAATGGCTGGGTAAGTCTTCTGGCCTCTACCCTGTCTGGCCATATCTATTTACCTATTAATGAGAAGCTCTGCCTTGCCAGGGTACCTTCTTCTTAATTAATTTGCCAATCGTGTCTGTTGGGGCGGCTAATGAGTCCCTGCCCTGCTCTCAGCGGCAAACTGGTGTCCTTTTAGAGCATAATTTGCCGCTTTAGAGTCCCTGCCCTGCTCTCAGCGGCACACTCTTCCTGATCGCTTATTTTCCGGTGCAAGGGCTATTTTTGAGTAGCTGCACGCCTATTATTCTGTGGGGAAGGATCAGATCGTCGCTGCAGCCGATTCCGGTGAATTCGTGCAAGCGCTTGTGTAACGAGGCTGCCATTATGGCGGAGCACATTATGGTCCTTCTGGCCATTTTCTGCCCGGCAATAGGCTTGTGCATGCGCGGTAAGCCTACAGCTCAATTTTTGCCCGGGAAAGAGCTGCGCAGGCGCAGACTGCTTTCTGATGGTAGTTCTGCCCGGCAACAGTGCCACAGCCGCGCAGGGAGCTTCTCTGCGCCCTTTCTGTGCCCCTTACAACTCTACAATGGCGAGCTGGGGCTGATACGTTTACCTTGCCAGCACGAAAGCCGTGGCTGGGGGAAATATTCAGTTATCTGTTAAGGGCCAGTTTTATGGCAACAATAATCAGGAAACCGCTCTGGTGCCCTCTGCTGTAGGGAAGACTGTTTGCAGGATACAGTCTTTTGGGGATTTTTATCCCATGCCACTATTCTCAATGCAGACCCCTTGCTTGATGCATGCCTGGCTGGTATATCTTTACCTGGCACAGGTTTGAGACAGCCTGTGCTAAGAAAACAGAAGTGGGAGGGGGGGAGTTGCTGTCACCAAACAGCCTTCTGTAAATGAGAATAATTTATACCATATATAAATATATATATATTTAAAAAAGGAAAACTTCCCTTAATGAGGCATGTCTATTTTCTCATTGTGTCAAACACCTACTTATCTTTATTCTCCTCATGTCTTCAGCATTTATCAACATGTCTGACTGCGAGCTCTCCTCCGACTTGGAGCACAGTCCTGGGCCTTCTGAGGCTCCAGCAAAGGAAAAGACAAAAAAGCGGGATAAGCCCAGAAATACCACTGTCCCGACTGTTTCAACAAGGAGTCACACATCTTCTTCGGCTGCCAACAAGGATGCCGACAGACGTCATAAGGCGCTCGAGCAACAATTTGATCGGGCTCAGCGACAGGCTCAGTCAACTGCCTTGCCTGCAATCGTGCCAACTGCCGGCCCTGTAGTGCATTCTGCTCCTCATTCAGGGATCATGCCTTCTGTATACCAGGGTCACACTCCAGTGATCAACTCTTCTCCGATACCTGCAGTGGTAAATCCTCCCACTGCCCTCTCGCATGACATTGCAGTTCTGGTGGATTTGTCTCATACTTGGCCACCTACTCAGCACCCTCCGCCGGAGGCTACTTACACCCCCACGGCCGTGGGGCTCCGCCCGGGGGGAACTTCACCTGTCATGCTAGCTTGTGACATCGAGAATCTCATTTCTCAAACTATATCCAAGATTTTGGCAGCTAGTGCACATCAATCTATATTGTACAGGCCGGTTTCTGTGGCTGTCCCTCCTCCGCCACCTCCTCCGGCTCCTCAGGTCTCTCACTACGATGACCCAGCAGACCGCTATTCGTCTCAGTTGGACTCTGCACAAGCTGAGGACTCCTCACTGGAGGTGAGGAGGCCCAAAGGGACATGGAGTTTTCTGACGATGACAATCTCCTTCCTGACAGACCGGCCTTCACTGGTCTCTTTCGACTGTCTCTATTTAAGTCCTTGCTACACAAGGCAAAGTCTTCTACTCATATGGCTACCTCGGAGGGCCTCTCCAATCCACCAACAGCGTCTCAGCCGCACGATACTCTGTTTAACATTCCTAAAACTGAACAGACATACATTCCGTGTCCTCAACTTTTCACAGAAGTTGTGCAGCGATCCTGGAGCCTGCCGTCCTCTTTGCCGGCACCTACCAGTCTTGGCCATAAGTTATACTGTTCGGCCCCGTCTCTACAGGACGTCTTGGCCATAGCAGTGGTGGATACTCCTGTCGCGAACTTGACTTCATCATCCTCGCATCTGTCTCATGACATCGCCAACAGCCTTCAGACAGAGGACCGGAAGGCGGAACTCACAGCCCGCAAGACACACAACGCGGCAGCCTGGGTGGTCAGGGCAGCGACCTCGGCGTCGTTTTTCAACAGGGCGACCCTCATTTGGTTGCGCCAACTTCAGGAGCATTTGCCACCGGAGGACACGAGGTTCCACCAAGACATTAATAAGATTGTAGCGGCCACTGAGTATTCTGCTGATGCTTCACTCAATGCCACCAAGTTCGCGTCTCGTGCCCATCCCGACGTCTGCTGTGGCTGAGGCACTGGAGAGCAGACATGAAGTCAAAGTCGAGGCTTGCATCAGCCCCATATAAAGGGACACATCTCTTCGGGGAAGCGTTGGACCCGATTCTCGTGGAAGATAAGGACAAGTGCAAAGTCATGCCCTCGTCTTACCGGCGGACTGAGCGCAAAATCCCCTCATATAGCCAGAGGCAGCCCTTTCGAGCTGAACCCGGACCCAGTGGGTCCTTCGCCACAAGACAATACTCCCAAGGATTTGATTGTTCCTATGACAGATCTTCCTTCCGAGATCGTGGCAGGCGCTCGGCCCCACCCAAACGCCCCTTCAGAGGTACAGGGACCCGTGCCTTTCGAAGAGGCAAATGACGCCCTCCATCACCTTCCCATTGGCGGCCGCCTTCAGCACTTCACAGCCCAATGGGAATTGACGACGTCAAATGCATGGGTACTCCAGACGATCCAGCTGGGATTGACCTTGGAGCTTCGATCCTGCCCCCACAACAGGTTCATACAGTGCCCTGTGTCGTCCAACCCAACCAAGCGTCGACTGATTGAGGCAGAGATACAACATCTCATCGACATTTGTGCCATAGAGCCGGTTCCCACAGAACCCCGTGGGACCGGTTTCTATTCAATCTTTTTCCTGGTTCCAAAACATTCCGGAGCCTGCCGGGGGATCCTGGATCTCAAAGAACTGAACAAATACATCCTATACCATCAGTTCAAAATGCAATCCCTGAAATCTATCTTGGGATGCATCAGTGGACCTCAAGGAGACCTATCTCCACATTCCGATCCGGCCTTCTCAACATCGGTTCCTCCGCTTTTCTTACAATCATCGGCATTTTCAGTACAGGGCGATGCCTTTTGGGCTTTCATCCGCCCCCAGGATCTTTACAAAGATCCTGTCAGCTGTAGCTGCACATCTTCAACAGATGCCAATCAGAGTACTTTGTTATTTGGACGATGTGCTCATCTTATCATCCACACAGACCCACGCCACACGGGATCTGGCCATGGTTTGCCACTGCCTTCAGCAACATGGCTTCTCCTTGAAACTGCAACATCCCACGGGACAATGGAGATGCATGAAATCATCTTCCTGAGAAGACGAGACAGTAGCAAGAGCGGGACGGACTGGAGCGAGAGAATCTGCAGAATCAATGTCCGGATGTTGCAGCATCGATCCGGGGACAGAAAAACCAGCCCCTTGCTGGAATATATAATGGAACCCAGGTGTAAGATCCTGGTAGTGGAGCACAAGTGGCTCTTTGGCAGATTCTACCCTGACCGGGTGGTTCTTCGGCTGGACCCGTCGTTCCTGCCAAAAGTCAATTCCCTCTACCACCATCAACAGGAATTGGTTCTTCTGGACTTCTGCCTGGACCCGAGGTATCCGCAAGAGGCCCAATGGCACACCTTAGATGTCCGCAGGGCTTTGCGCAAGTATATTCGGAGGACTCAGCATTTCCGTAAGTCGGAAGCACTGTTCATCTCTTTTCTGCCCGCGACGATGGGACGGAAGGTCTCCTTGTCCACCATCGGGAGATGGCTGAAAGCCTGCATCTCCAAGGAATATGTGCTTCAGAACAAACTGGTTCCCGGCAGGATTTTACCTCATTCTACCCGAAGTGCATCTACCATGGCTGCTTGGGCGACTCAGGCCACCATCGCTGACATCTGCAAGGCAGCAACATGGACGTCGCTGAATACTTTCATCCATCACTATAAAGTTGATTCATTTGCCTCGGCTGACGCCTCGTTCGGTTGGTGGGTTCTGCAATCTATGTGTTCTGCTCCGGTCACGCATGTACAGCCTTCCGCCCCACCCCCATCCCTATTTAAAACTTGCTTGGGCATGTCCCTCACTTTTGGATTCTCCAAGCAGCGCGCTGGAGAACGGACGTTGCTTACCTGAACGTCCCTTCTAGGCGCGCTGCTGGAGAATCCAACACGCCCGGTCTAGCTGCTGAACCTGGAACTCGCACGTCTCCTTGAACTGTTTCTTCTGGAACAAAAACTGAGCCTCTGACGAACAAGGGGGCGTGTCTAAAGAAATTTAAAGACACATACACCCAGTGCTGACTACTGGACTGATGAATAACCCTCGCTTTTGGATTCTCCAGCAGCGCCCCTAGAAGGGATGTTCAGGTAAGCAACATCCGTTTTCTCAAAGAACAAATTTATTTAGATACACCATCTTGGCACTAACTAGTGAAAAGCCAGTACTGAAGTTCCTGGGCTTTTCTCCCCAATATAGGTTTTAGTTTCCAAAGCAAACTGTCACATTGTCCAACCAAGATGGGAGCTGGTTGCTTGGCGACTTCTCTCCTCCTCCTCCAGTCAGCAAGCAGTTGGAATGTGTTTGACTCATCGACTAGCTATGATGTTTTGGCTGAAGGCTCTATCCTTCAGCTCCAAACTGTGTCAAACTGCCAGACAGTGGCAGGATAAGGTGGAAGAACATTTCTGCATTCACTTTGTGGTTAAAACTCAACCACGCCTCTCCTGGCTTTCGGGACAGCTCCATGCTGGGTCTATTTCTTAGGTAAACCAGCCACTTAATAGAGCCTTAGAAACTTCTCAGGGCACACTATGGATCCTTAAATGTGGAATTAATTAATTAACTTTCAGCTTCAAAGGCTCAAGTAGTTTGTACAATTGAGGCTACAAATCTCTAAACGACATGAATAAAAGTAAAAAACTCTAAAACAGAAACAGGCCACAAAAACAGAAACCAACTGCTATCTCATCCTATTAGACTAACAGAAAGGGATCTGCCAGTTGAAGAAGAAAAAGCCCAAGCAGGTGCTAGAAGTGCTCTTTCTGTAGGGAAGCTGATTTATTTAGTAATCAATGGCTTCATCTGTATCAAATGTGTTCTTTATTTTGTTATTTATATTTCAGCGATAGACGCCTGCTGCAGCCAGCCCAGGTGTGTGATATTTTCAAAGGTGTAATACTTGTAATTTGCTACTTCATGATGCACTATGTTGACTATTCCATGATGTACCACCTGATAAGAGGACAGTCTGTAATTAAACTCTACATCATCTATAATATGCTTGAGGTAAGTAAATAATGAATACCACCCAGTCTTCCTTAACATATCAAAGCTTTGTTGTAATTCCTTTTTCACTGTGTTAGGAATACAGGTAGCCCTCACTTTACAATGGTAATTGGGATCAGGCATTTCATTGCTAAGCAGTGTGGTCTCATATAACTGTACTTACTCATGATAGCATTTCTGGCAGTCCTATTTGCCAACAATAGATAAATTGCACATGGTAGCAGCATTCTCCAGTCAAGAGATTACCACTTACAACCCTGCTGGCTTCCCCATTAACTCTGTGGAAAACAATAATGTGACTGCAGGATGCTATGACCATCATAATTGCAAACCAATTGCCAAGCACCAAATCATAATCACTCAGCAATTACTGGACCGATGACAACTTCAAAGATTAGCCTTAAATCTCCTCATTCAATGCCATTGTAACTTCACAGCTATTTGCACTCAGGTGACCCTGGGGACACAGATAAACCTCCAAGTGGTCTCAATGACTCTCTAAAAAGAATGCAAATGACCAGCTGTCTGCAAGGAGTATAAATCCTTCCATTCTCCACAAAATGGTGGGGAAAAACCAAAAAAAAAAAAACCAAACAAACAAACAAGAAAGTCCAGTTGCCTCCTGAAAAAGCACCTTTGGGATTTAGAGGGTTATCAATGCATAGCTGTTGTAAAATAGATGATTCTTTTAGCAGAAGCTAAAAGATATTGGGCTAAAATCCACAAATGGTTGGAAAAATGACAAAGAAACATATTGACTTTAAACCAGAGATATTTTTATTGGGGATTTTACCAGAAATATACAATAGAGAAATGAGATATTTAATTGTGAATGTTTTAACAGCGGCTAGAATTGTATTTGGTAGAAACTGGAAAGGTGAGAAGATACCCACGGATGACGACATCAAGAAAATTTTGGAGTGTGCTGAAATGAGTAAATTGACATTTGAAATTAGGGAACAAGAAGATAAACAATATTATTTGATATGGAATTTATTTTATCAATGGTTAGACAAGAAAGAATGGAAATGAAATATGAAATATGAAATGGATAAGATAATAAAACATATAATTGTTTTATTATTGTCCCCTTTTATAATTGTCCCCTTATAGAGGACAATTTACTGTTAAATAATTGGTAAATGAGAATAATAATGTAATAAACTGTTAAATAAGAAAATGTTGGATAGAGGATTAAGCACAAAAGATTTGTAACCGATCAATACACTTTCTGTAATTGTAATGGATGATAATTGTTTTATGTTTTAAGTTTTGTTTAAAAATAAAAAAAAAATCCCCCCCCCCCAAAAAAAGATGATTCTGACAATGACCCAGTTCAGGGTCAAACTCGTTCTTGCTTTTTATCCAAATTATGTTCAAAAGAAATAAATTCTTTGGAGAACAAATGAATTCTGTCTTCAGCTTGAAGCCAATAATTATTACTCTTATTTCATTTAGGAAGAATGCATCTTCTGTTTTTTTGCCTTTTTAAAAAATTATGCAGAGATTCAAAGGTTAAACGAGACTTCAACATGCATGAGAGTGCCAAAATATTACTTCTCAACAATTCTGTAAACTAGATGCATCTTTGACCACAGTCCTGCAGAGTTGCAGATAAAGGAAAAAGACAACAGTTAGCATTGTTAGGGAGTGTTTCTCAACCTTTGGCATCTTGAAGATATGTGGACTTCCAAGTCCCACAATTCCCCAGCCAACCTTTAGCTTTGATGCTCCACTCCTGATTATACTGATGGACCTGAATATTTCACAGACACACATATATCCTTGCTCCAGTACTCAGTTTAAGCAGATGTGTCTAACTAATGAGGCCAGTATTTCCATATGGATTTAAATTAAGAGTTTCTGTTAAGGCTGCCCAGTTAATTACAGGTTTATTCTACTACTGATATTCCTCTGATCCACAGCTACACAGGCCTCTTGAATATTTTCTGTGTTGCATGTTTAAGTTGAATAGATCTAATTGGGGCTGCCTATGACCAGTGTCAAAGAATATGACCTGAGCAAAGGTAGTTTTATCTCTCTAAGTAGAAAGCTAGAAAGAAATTAATGCATAATTATATCCAGAGTAACATAGCAGAAAAGGTACAAGAGAGCTTTCTCCTAAAGTTACATAAAGAAAACAATTACTGTAACCAAGACATAAGGAAGTTGAAATCAATTGTGAAAGTGATTGTTTAAGCTTAATAACAGAACTGGGCCAGAAAGACAATCAAGGATGAAAAACTGGGTTTCCCTAAGCAGTGGAAACTTTGTACCAAGATACTAGGTACAAACTTTGTGTTGTTTTTGTTCTGAATAATCTTAAATGATTAAAATTATTTTAAATGCTGATGTGTAAAAAATGCAATAGGTAACATAATAATTCAAAAGTCTGAACCCAGAAGTTTATGCATACACTGTTGTATCTTAATCTTCAAATGGATTTGCATTATGGCCCTAAAGTCAAGTAACTTTTGCTTAAGAGAAGCAAGCTGCAAAATTAAAATAACCTTCTGATGCTCATGTACATCTCTCTAGGTAGCTGATCGTTTATTTTCATCTTTTGGACAAGATATCTTGGATGCTCTCTATTGGACTGCAACAGAACCAAAAGAAAGGAAAAGAGCACACATAGGGGTCATTCCCCATTTCTTCATGGCAGTGCTGTATGTCTGTATCCTTTTGTGTTATTTTGGGGTGTGCGTATGTAGTTTAAAAAATCTATAAAATCTTGGCTTTTGTGTAAAGAAGGCAACAAATCCTGATAGGGAACAAAGGAGCTCTTATAAAACAGTAAATTGAAAAACCTTAGTTTGCAAGAAAAAAATGGAACAGCAGCCTATTTCTCTGGACCGATTCTTTCCTAGGATTTGCACTTTTATAAGGCAGTTTCTTCATTCCACTGTACAAACAAATCTAGGCATCACTTATTCTCCTTCCCTTGGTCATATGTGGTAGCTGTATGGCATAGGACCCGGGTACCTCCGAGACCGTCTCCTGCCACCAATACTCTCCCACCGACCAGTTCGCTCCCACAGAGAGGGTCTCCTCAGGGTGCCATCGGCCAAGTTATGTCGGCTGGCAACACCCAGGGGGAGGGCCTTCTCTGTGGGAGCCCCAGCCCTGTGGAACGAACTGCCCCCAGAAATATGTAAGATCTCCTACCTCCGGGTGTTTCGCTGCGCCCTGAAGACCCTGTTGTTCCGCCACGCCGGTCTATCAACAAAATAGTTGTACATTGGGGTATTTAAATTTTTTGGGGTTTTAAATCTGAACCAATTTATTTAATTATTTTAAATTTTAAATTGTTGTTTGTCTGTGTTTTTAAATAGGCTGTACACTGCCCTGAGTCCTTCGGGAGAAGAGCGGTATAGAAATAAAATTATTATTATTATTATTATTATTATTATTATTATTATTATTATTATTAGAAGAAGAAACAGCAATAGTCAATACAAATAGAATAGTTGTTCTGAACATTTACAAAGGCAAGTTCTATGTAAACAGAAGTTTAAAAGCTATTTTAATGGGTTCTGTGAATTGTTCTTACAAAATAAAAATGAAGAATCTTGAAAACTTACTAATTATTTTTTCCATCAAAAGACCCCAGAGAATTGAGGGAACTATTGAATAGTTGACTGGATTTGAGGACTATGAAGGAGAGTTAAAGCTGACTTCCGGTTGGCGCCGTGGGGATACAGACGGGGAATTAGCGGGCACTTCGGAGCCCCTCAAAAACCCCGTCTGCCAAGCCCCTGCCGGTAGGTCCTTGGACCTACCCTGTCCTGTAGGGACGGGGATAGAGAGGGACCCCTTGGACAGCTGAGAGGAACGGGCAGGTTCCTCGGGGCTGGAGGTTTACCCTCTGCACCGGTGGCGATGGAGCAGCGGCCATGGCAGCTGCCCTGAGACCGCGGCAACCAGGATATAAGAATGTGCAGGAGGAGAGGTGGAGAAGCGGGGAGTGGAGCCGGGAGTTTGGATGCCGGGTGAGTGGACATTGGCCCAGGCAGAACTGCCCACAAACGCTAATTTACAATTACTTTGCCCCAGCCTTGTTAGCGGCTGAGAACTATTGGGGCACAAAGACAAAAGACCTGTTGGTGGATAGCATGAATTCCTGACTTCTTGGAGATGTCTGATTATAGATCTGGATATATTTTTTCTTTTCTTTTTGGTGGATAAATGAGATTGGACTGTGTCTGGGAGAGAGGAAGGAGAAGAGGAAATAATTATGCCTTTAAAAGCAAAGAAAAAGACAAACGGAGACCGACAAAATGGTTGCCAGCTAAAGGGAAAGTGTAAATTCCACTTGTTACTTGAAAAGAGAAACTTTGTTGCTTGTTATGAGTTAGAGAACTTGACTTAGGATATATAATCTGTACACTGGAGGATTTATTGAAGAATAGAAAGAAGAAATTAAATGGAACAATGATAATTGAACTAATAAATGTGGCAACAAAAGAAGGGTGTGGCAATAGAAGAAGGACATGATGATACCATATATGGAATTGCTTCAGAACTAATTCTGTAGAATTCATAACTTTGATGACATTGAAATGGAAAAGATACATATCTGGATAGACTGGAGAAAGGAATTATGGAATATATCATGTAACAAGACAACAAAATATTATACCTTGATTTAAATGAATGTAATAGTTTCTGGGTGACTGAATAATGTTAGGAGATACCTTTTTTTCCTTCTCTATGCTCTCTCTCTCTTTCTTTCTTTTTGTATCTTTCTTTTTGTTTTGTTTTTTCCCCTCTATTTTCTTTCTTTAACCCATTTGACTTCTTTGCTTATATTTCTACTCTCTTCCCTTTTCTTTTCTTTTTCTTTTTTTAGTATTGTTTCTTTTATTGTAACTATTATTGTTATTGCTCTCTTTTATTACTATTATTTTTATATAAA